TTTGCCCGATCGTAATGATGTTGCTGACCAGATAGTAGTAACTCAGGCCGCTGGAGTAATTATTGAACCAGAACAGCAGCATCAGCGGCATCAGGTACAGCATCATGAATTTCATGCCGGCCATCTGCGGGCCTGCTCCGGCCGTCTGCGCGTAGTTTGATCTTCGACGAAATGAATACCGATACGGCCATCAGCAACGCGAACAGGCTGACATGGTCGCCGTAGAACGGAATGTTTGAATGGCAGATGCAGGATGCTGTCGTACGACGAAAGGTCGTCGGCCCACAGAACGATTTTTCCGCGCAGTTCGATCGACGCCGGGAAAAAGCGGAACATGGCGATCAGGATCGGGAACTGGATCAGCATCGGAATACAGCCCCCCATCGGGTTGACTCCGGCACTTTTGTACAGCGCCATCATCGCCTGCTGTTTCTTCATCGCGTCTTCCTGTTTCGGGTACTTCTCGTTGAGCTTGTCCATTTCCGGTTTCAGCAGGCGCATTTTGGCGGTCGAAAGGTAGGACTTGTAGGTCAACGGCGAGATGATGATTTTGATGAAGATCGTCAGCAGCAAGATGATCAATCCGTAATTCGAAATGTATTTACCCAGGAAATCGAACGTCGGGATTACCAGCCAGCGGTTCACCCAACCGATGATCCAGCCTCCGAGCGGAACCAACTTTTGCAGGTGCAGGTCGTCGTATTTTTTCAGCGTCGAGTATTTGTTCGGGCCGAAATAGAAACTGAAATCGTAATGGTCTGTCTGCGGCGTATAAGGGACGGCCAGTTGCGTATGGAACGTTTTGATCTCGCGGGCGGTAGGCGCAAAGGTCGTGAATTTGACCGAGCCGTTCTGGAAATCGTCTCCGGCGATCAGGATCGACGAGAAGAACTGCTGCTTGAATGCCACCCATTTGATCTTGGAATTGATCGTCTCCTCTTTCGTTTCGTTGGAGATGCCGAGTTCCTCGATGCCGTCGTCGCCCGGGTAATTATAGGCGATCGTCGTGTAACGGTTCTCGTTTTCGAACCCTTTTTCGTTCTGGGGCCGACATTCTGCCACGTGATTTCCATGTCGCCCTGGTTCGGCGACAAGATTTGCTGCATACCGACGAAACGCACGTCGAAGTCGATCATGTAGTTGTCCTTGCGGATCGTGTAAACGTAATCCACATAGGCGGCCGAATCCACCGGCAACCGCAGGACGAATTCCTTTTGCTCCTGCCCTGCCCCGAAAGTCAGGTCGGTCGCCTCGGCGGGGGTGAAGTAGTAATCCCCTGTTCGTATCTGGGCGTCGTTGTATCCCTGTTTGATGAAGAACGACAGATCGAATACCGAAGTCGTGTCGGCGAACAGCACCAGAGGCTGTCCCCGTAGGTTTTGTAATCTTTCAACTCGACCGAAGCGACGCGTCCGCCTTTGTTCGAAAAGCGGATTTTCATCAGGTCGTTCTCGACCGTATAGAAAGTTTCGGTTCCTTTGGTCGCTTGAAAAAGAGAGCTCCCGAGGTGGCGTTCGAGGGCTTGTTCGGCTTGCGCCGTCCGGAGGCTGTCGCCCGCTGGCGAGTTCGTCACGGTGATCTTTTCCACTTTCTGCGTTTGCTGAACGGCTGCCGCATTGGCGGCGTTCAGCGAATCGACGAGCGTTTTGGCTTCGTCGAACTGCGACTGCTGTTTACTGTTGTACCACGAAAAACTGAAGAGTATGACACCGATGATCAGTAGGCCCAGTAGCGTTTTCTTATCCATGTTTTGACGTCTTCTGTTTTATTTACAACTGTTGCTTTCGCAATATTTTTCGGCAGCCTTTACGAACGATACGAACAGCGGATGCGGGTGCAGTGCCGTACTTTTATATTCGGGGTGGTACTGCACGCCGATAAACCACGGATGGTTTTCCAGTTCGACGATCTCGACCAGGTTCGTATCCGGATTTACGCCGACCGGTTTGAGGCCTGCTTGGACGAACTCGTCCAGGTAGTCGTTATTGAATTCGTAACGGTGGCGATGGCGTTCGACGATCTCGGCTTTCCCGTATGCCGCATAGACTTTCGTGCCTTTTTGCAGGGCGCAAGGGTATCCTCCCAGCCGCATTGTGCCGCCTTTTTCGGTCACGCCCTTCTGTTCTTCCATCAGGTCGATCACCGGATGCGTCGTGCTGTCCATCTCGGTCGAATTCGCATCGGCGTATCCGAGCACGTTGCGGGCGAATTCGATTACGCTGCACTGCATTCCAAGGCAGATCCCGAAGAACGGGATTTTCTGTTCGCGGGCGTAACGCACCGCTTCGATTTTTCCTTCGATGCCGCGGTGCCCGAACCGGGCGCTACCAGAATGCCGCACATGCCTTTCAGTTGCGCGGCGATGTTCTCTTTGGTGATCTTTTCAGAATTTACGTATTGCAGTTTCACCTTCGTATGGTTTGCGGCCCCGGCGTGTATGAACGATTCGACGATCGATTTGTAGGCGTCAGGCAGTTCGGTGTATTTGCCGACCAACGCGATGTTGACCTTTTTCTGCGGATGCTTGACCTTTTCGACGAATTCGATCCAGGCTTTCAGGTCGGCTCTCCGTTGTCCGGCAGCCGTAGTTTATCGAGCACCACCAGATCGAGTTTCTGGTTCAGCATCATCAGCGGCACTTCGTAAATCGTCGGTACGTCGATCGATTCGACGACCGCATTGACGTCCACGTTGCAAAACAGCGCCACTTTGCGCCGGATGTCGTTGGTCAGGTGCTTTTCGGTGCGCAGTACCAGCGCGTCGGGCTGCAGGCCGTTTTCGAGCAACTGCTTGACCGAATGCTGGGTCGGCTTGGTCTGAGTTCGCCGGACGCGGCCATGTACGGAATCAGGGTCAGGTGCACGACCAGCGAGTTGTTCGCTCCCAGTTCGTAGCGGAGCTGCCGGACGGCTTCGATGTACGGCAGCGATTCGATGTCGCCGACCGTGCCGCCGATCTCGGTGATGATAACGTCGTATATTTTCTTGGCGCTCAGCAACTTGATTCGCCGTTTGATTTCGTCGGTGATGTGCGGGATGACCTGCACGGTCTTGCCGAGGAATTCGCCGCGCCGTTCTTTGTTGATAACGCTCTGGTAGATGCGTCCGGTGGTGACGTTGTTGGCCTGTGAAGTCGGGATGTTCGTGAAACGTTCGTAGTGCCCGAGGTCGAGGTCGGTCTCGGCGCCGTCTTCGGTGACGTAGCATTCTCCGTGTTCATAGGGATTCAGCGTTCCCGGATCGACGTTGATGTACGGATCCAGCTTCTGGATCGCTACTTTATAGCCCCGGGCTTGCAACAGCCGCGCGAGGGATGCGGAGATAATCCCCTTTCCCAGCGAAGAGGCGACGCCTCCGGTGACAAAGATAAATTTCGTTTTGTTCGTGTTACTCACAGCCATGTTTTTACTCTCCCTGCTTATCTATCATGTTAATCTTTTCAATCGTGGTTGCCATTTCCTCTTTCGCCTTGGCGATCTTCTCGTTGACGTCACGGATCATGGCCTCGGCGTTCTTGCTTTTCGAGAAGAAGCCGATGTTGTTTTCCAGCAGCGCGATGTCCGCTTCGAGTTGTTTCATCTTGTTGTACAGTCGTTCGCGTTCGTGGCGCAGGCGGCGGTCGTTGGCGTTGTCTGCCGCCAGGTTTTGGATTTTGCCTTTGAAGCGTTCCAGATGACGCTCTTTTTCATTGCCGCGCAACTTGGCGAAAGCGGCATCGACCAACTGACGCCATTCGTTTTGGATAGCCTCTTTTTGCCGGATCGGCACGAATCCGGTTTCGGCCCAACGGCGTTGCAGTTCTTTCAGTTTGTCGAAAGCCTTTTCCTGTCCGTCCGCGACGAAGTTTTTCATCTCTTCGATCAGCGCGCGTTTTTTCGTCAGGTTCTCTTCGTATTGGGTGTCGATCGTTGCGAAGTGGGCCGCCTTGCGCTCGAAAAAACGGTCGCAGGCCGTGCGGAACCGTTTCCACACCGCATCCGAATGGCGGCGTGCGACCGGCCCGATCTCTTTCCACCTTTTCTGTAGCGCGATCAGTTCGTCGGTGGCTTTTTTCCACTCCTCGCTGTCCTGAACGGCTTCGGCTGCAGCGCATATTTCGTTTTTCAGTTGCAGGTTGCTTTCCATCTCCATTTTCGTCTGGAGATAGAAATTCCGTTTGTTTTCGAAAAATTTATCGCATGCGTTGCGGAAGCGTTCGTAAATTTTGGTGTTGTCTTTTTTCGGGGCGAAACCGATCGTTTTCCATACTTTCTGGATTTCGATCAGTTGTTCCGAGGCTTTGTTCCACTCCTTGCGGGAGATCGGCGCAGCGGTGACCAGTTCCTCGGTCTTGACGCAAAGCTCGGTTTTCAGGTCGAGGTTTTTCTTTTGTTCCTCTTTCAGTTGGTCGAAATGTTCCTGATGCCGTTTGTTGATTTTCGAACTGGCTTCGCGGAAACGGTCCCACAACTGTTCCTTGTATTCGTTGGTCACAGGGCCTATTTCGCGCCACTGTTCGTGCAGCTTTTGTAATTTGTGGAACGCGGTAATGACCGAGTTCTCCAGCACCAGCGCTTCCGCCTCTTCGCACAGGGCGATTTTGGCTTCGTAATTCTTTTTCAGGTCGAGGTCGCGCAGTTCCTTGTTGATCTTGATGAAATTGTAGAAATTCTCGACGTGCAGGTTGTAAGTTTCCCACAGGTCTTTCATGACCGACTGCTGTACGAGCCCTGTCTCTTTCCAGCGCTGTTGCAGTTCGCGGAACGTGTTGAATGTCTGATTGAGCGTTTCGTTACTGTTGACCAGTTCTTTCAGTTCTTCGATGATCTGGAGTTTGGTCTGGTAGTTGGCTTCTTTTTCAGCGTCCAGCCGGGCGATGAACTCATTGCGTTTCTCGCGGTATTCGGCGAATAGCGTCTTGAACTGCTGTTCCGCTTCGTTTGCGGGCGGAACGAAATCTTCGCTATTGCCGCCCGATTCGACGAACAGCTTGCGCAACTGATCCACCTCGTTGCGGTAATTCTTATAGAAGGCTATTTTGATGGCTTCCACGTCTGCGCGGATCGTCTGTACGGGCTTCGTCCGCAGCAGCGTTTCGAAAATCGCGAGCAATTGTTCTTTGTTCTTCCGGAATAGTCGACCGTCTCCGAAACGCGATCCCCGCCGGCGTTTTCTTCCGCAGGTTCTTCGTCTCCCAGATCGAATTCCGGAGCGTCGGCCGCCAGGGCCGCCTCTTCGTCCGAGAAGTCTACGACCGGATCGGCGGCGTTTTCCGGGGCCGGAGCCTGCGGGTCGGCCGGTGCGTCTTGCCGGTTCTTGCTTTCTTTTTCGACCGCCGGTTCGGCAGTCGGAGCGGTATCCGTCGTATCCTCAATGCCGGAAGCATTGACTTGTTCCTCGGGAACAGGCAGTTCGTTGTTTTCGGTAACCATCATCAAACGTTTTAGATTCAGAAAAGTCCCGCTGCCAGCGGGCAGCTTTAAATTACAAAAGTATATGATTTTTCCTAAAAAACACAGTTCCCGTTCAAAAAGTTACCGGTATTCACGCCCTTTGCGGGAATATATAGCGAGCTTCTTAACTGTTTTTTAACAATAATTGCCTAAAATTGCATTTCCAAATTTTGCGATAACTCGAACTTTTATGGAATATGTTCATTTTCTGATCGATTTTGTGCTGCACATCGACGTGCATCTGGCGCAGATGGTCGCCCAGTACGGTGTATGGGTATACGCGATCCTGTTCGCGATCATTTTCTGCGAGACCGGCCTGGTCGTAACACCTTTTCTGCCCGGAGATTCGCTGCTGTTCGTAGGCGGCGCGCTGGCCGCTTTGCCGACCAACGAGTTGAATGTCCATTTGCTGGTGCTGGCGGTGGCTGTCGCCGCCGTGTCGGGAGATGCGGCCAATTACACGATCGGCCGTTGTTCGGCGAAAAATTGTTCAGGAATCCGGATTCCCGGATTTTCAAACAGAGTTACCTGGAGAAAACGCACGCTTTTTATGAAAAATACGGCGGAAAAACGATTATTCTGGCACGGTTCGTTCCGATCGTAAGGACGTTCGCTCCGTTCGTGGCCGGCATGGGACACATGAGCTATCGGCATTTCGCCCTTTTCAATGTGGTCGGCGGGTGTGCCTGGGTGGCCGTTTTCTGTTACGCCGGATTTTTGTTCGGCGGACTGGACGTGGTGCAGGAAAATCTGAAGCTGTTGATCGTCGTGATCATCGTCGTTTCCATTTTGCCGGCTGTGATCGAGATATGGCGCAATAAACGTAAAAAAAAGTAAAATACATTTCATTTCGTCGGTAAATGGCTACCTTTGTGTGATTTTGTTGCGGCCCCGGGCTGTCCTCTTTTTATCTCGCGGATGAGAAGAGCGTTTTTTTGCAGGGTATCCGGTCGCTCTCACCTCTTTACGGCCGGTTGTCGTTTCGGATGAAAACACAATTAAATAATAATTGGTATTATGGAATTTGTCGATAAATCAAACAGAAGGCGAAAAGCAACATCAAACGATCGTCCTGCCGGAAGCCTACGAGGAACGCAACCTGAAGGCTGCCGACCGGATTATCAGCGAAGGGTTTGCCGATCTGATCCTGATCGGGAATCCGGATCAGATCCATCATCTGGCTTCGGAACTCTATCTGGAAAATATCGGGAAGGCGAAGATCGTCGATCCGCAAAACAATCCCGATAAGGAAAAGTACGTGGAACTGATGCTGAAGCTTCGGGCAGCCAAAGGATTGACCCGCGAACAGGCCGAAAAGCAGATCGCCGATCCGCTGTATTTGGGCGCCGTGATGGTGAAGGCCGGCGATGCGGACGGAGAGGTAGCCGGCGCGAACAATGCGACCGGCGACGTGTTGCGTCCCGCTTTTCAGTATGTTAAGACCATACCGGGGATCAGCGTCGTGTCCGGAGCGTTCATTATGATGCTGAAAGACCCGATGTTCGGGGAGAACGGGATGATGGTGTTCGCGGATTGTGCGGTGCATCCGAATCCTACGGCCGAAGAGTTGGCGCAGATCGCTGTGATGACCGGGCGGACGACCCGCGTGATCGCCGGTTTCGAACCGCGTATCGCGATGCTGAGTTTTTCGTCGAAAGGTTCGGCCAAACATGAAATGGTCGACAAGGTGGTGCGCGCGACCGAATTGGCCAAGGAGTTGGATCCGACGTTGATGATCGACGGGGAGTTGCAGGCCGACGCCGCGATCATTCCGGGTATCGGCGCGCAAAAAGCTCCCGGCAGCAAGATCGCCGGCAAAGCGAACGTACTGGTATTCCCGACGCTCGAAGTCGGCAACATCGCCTACAAGTTGGTGCAGCGCATGGCGCATGCCGAGGCGATCGGTCCGATCCTGCAGGGAATGGCCGCTCCGATCAACGACCTTTCGAGAGGGTGCTCGGTGGACGATATCGTCGGACTCGTCGCGATTACGGCATGCCAGGCGGGAGGAATGAAGTAATCTGAAGGTTAATATAAAGTGATATAAACTTATGAAAATCCTTGTTTTAAACTGTGGTAGTTCGTCGATCAAGTATCAGGTGATCGACATGAAGAGCGCCACGGAATATTCGCTGTTGGTGAAGGGCATTATCGAACGGATCGGTCTGTCCGACGCGATCCTGACGCATAAGCCGGTCGGAAAACCGGTTTACGAAGTGGTGCGGAGCATTCCGGATCATACGAGCGGGATCAGCCTGATCCTGGACGCGCTGGTCGATCCGGAGTACGGCGTACTGGAAAGCATCTCGGAGATCGCGGCGGTCGGTCACCGCGTGGCTCACGGCGGAGAGTATTTTAAGGACAGCGCTTTGGTGGACAAGTCCGTCAAGCAGAAGATCGAAGCTTGCTTCGACTTGGCTCCGTTGCATAATCCGGCCAATCTGAAGGGGATTCTCGCGATGGAAAACATCCTGCCGAACACGCCGCAGGTGGCCGTATTCGATACTTCGTTCCACCAGACGATGCCGGCCAAGAATTTTATGTACGCCCTCCCCTATAAATATTACGAGGATTACCGGGTGCGCCGTTACGGTTTCCACGGAACGAGTCACAAATATGTGGCCCAGACGGCTTGCAAGTTGACGGGGATCGATATGAATCGGTCGAAAATCGTGACTTGTCATATCGGTAGCGGAGCGTCGGTGGCGGCGATCCTGAACGGGGAGTCTTACGATACGTCGATGGGATTCACGCCGGTCGACGGCCTGATTATGGGAACCCGTTGCGGCAGCACCGATCCCGGCGCGCTGATTTATATCGCCGAGAAAGAAGGGATCAATCTGGATCGCCTGAGCGTGATGATCAATAAGGAGTCCGGAATGCTCGGCATTACCGGCGTTTCGTCCGATATGCGCGATATCCGCGCTGCGGCCGAGAGTGGGAATCCGCGGGCCGAACTGGCGATCGAAATGTTTGCGGCGCGGATCAAGAAGTTCGTCGGCGCGTATGCCGCGCTGATGGAGGGGATCGATATGATCGTCTTTACGGGGGAATCGGCGAAAACGATCCGGGAACCCGGGAGCGCGTCAGCAAAGGGCTCGAATTCATGGGCGTGAAATTCGATCCGAGGTGAACCGGGGCGTGCGCGGAAAAGACGTCGTGCTCTCTGCGCCGGATTCGCGCGTCAAGGTCGTTACGATCGCTACGAACGAAGAGTTGGTCATCGCTTCGGATACGTTCGGTTGACCAAAAAACGCTCCGAATAATACGGTTGTTGCGGCGAATGCAAACGAATGTTCGAAAAGTTTTCCGGAATGAAAAAAACGGAAAACTTTTTGATGTTTCAAAGGATTGTTAAATTATGAAACGATGATAACGAAACTGGAAGAATCATTCAGACCGTCCAGGGGCAGCCGCGTAAAAACTGGCGGTAGCCTATGCGCAGGATTCGCACACGCTGGAGGCCGTTGGCGCGGCGGTGGATATGGGAATCGTCGAAGCGATCCTCGTCGGCGACCGCGACGAGATCGAGCGGGTTTGCATGGCGGACGAGATCGACCCGGAAAAGTTTTCGGTGATCGACCAGAAGAGCGATGTCGCCTGCGTGGCGACGGCCGTGAAAATGATCCATGACGGAATGGCCGATATTCTGATGAAAGGGCTGGTTTCTACCGACAAATACATGCGCGGGATTCTCGACAAGGAATTCGGGTTGCTTCCGCCCAAAGGGGTGTTGAGCCATGTGGCGGTGCTGGAGCTGCCGATGTATCACAAGTTGCTGCTGGTGTCGGACGTGGCGGTGATCCCTACCCGACCTGGATCAGAAGGTGCGGATCACCCGCTATCTGATCGAGGCGGCCCGGGCGCTGGGCGTTCAGAAACCCAAGGTCGCGGTGGTCGCTCCGAGCGAGCAGATGCTACCGAAAATCCAGTCGGCGGTCGATGCGGCGATCCTGTCCAAAATGGGCGACCGGGGACAGTTCGGAAATGCGTTGATCGACGGTCCGTTAGCGGTGGATGTGGCGCTGGTGAAGGAGGTAGCCCAGACCAAAGGGCTGTCGAGTCCGGTTGCAGGCGACGCCGACTGCCTGTTGTTCCCGACGCTGGATGCGGCGAATGCTTTCTTTAAGGCGGCAAACCAACTATGCCGCGCACCGCTGGCCGGGATGGTGGTCGGCACCAATGTCCGTGCGTACTGAGTCCCGCGGCGATTCTCCGGCGTCGAAGCTCTATTCGATCGCAATGGCTGCGTTGTCCGTTAAAAAGTAAGAAGTGATGAAACAATACGGAATATTGGCGATCAACCCCGGTTCGACTTCTACGAAAATTGCGGTGTATCTCGATGAAACGGAGGCGATGAGCCGGACGATCCGTCCTCGGCGGAGGAGCTGCGGCCGTTCGCCCGCGTGACCGACCAGTTCGGTTTTCGCCGGGATCTGATTCTGAAAGTTCTGAGGAGGAAGGTATTGCGCTGGACTCGCTGTCTGCGGTTATCGGGCGCGGGGGATGGTCAACCGATCGCTTCGGGCGTGTACGAGGTGAACGACGCGCTACGTCGGGATTTGATCCACGCTCCGCAGGGCGAGCACGCCTCGAACCTGGCGGACTGCTGGCTGTCGAAATCGCGTCGCGGGTT